ACTTCTGCCAACACGAGTGCAGAAACCGTGTTAAGTTGTCTGTGGAACATAAACTCAGATACCAGATAAGAACGGGTCCAGTTCCGCTGTTTGTTGGTGATTTAGTTCATTTTTATCCACTGAACCCGTCCGGCTGCACCGCCAAAATAAAAGCCCAGCCAAAACAAACAGCAGAGAGCCGTCCTGCTGATGGAAAGTGATTTTAAATAGAGCGACAGCTTCGACCACGCTGACAGAGTTTAGAGCAACAACGTCTGGACGGGTCGAGATGATCCACACAGGAAGTGGGTCGGGATGTTTTCACCAGGAAGCTCCTTTCAGTTGAACACGAGGCCTCGACCAGAGCCTCCCTGGCAGGAGGAGGAGAGCAGAAGGTCTCTGGATTAACATGAAGCTCATTCTGAAGCACAGCGTGTGCACGTGGGTCCACAGAGCGTCCTCGGGCAGACGGACAGATGGACGAACTGAAGCGTGGGAACAGACAGGAGGCTGTTCTCCTCCTCATCTCAGCTCATTTAGGCTTTATTATCACTTTCAAAATAAAAGCATGTTTTCAACAAACATGCAGATTCGTTTTGATTGATGTGATAATTCTGGCTGTGAAGCAACCGCCTCCGGGATGAACYGGGGACGGTTTTAAAAAGCAACAGGAACACATTATTATCCACGCGAAGGCTCAAGTCTTTGGTTTGAAACGTGAGAAAACTCGTCGGATGTTTCGGTTTTTTTCCTCTTTATGACGCAAATGTTTGAAAAATCACAAAATCTACAGGAAGATAATTCATGTCAAATCAAAGCTTCCTGCCAGCTGGTTTGAATGCAGATATTTGCATGAGATTTGTTTTTTCTGGGATTTAACCCCTCACTGTGGCTCGAAACCAGTCCTCCACCTCTCCGTTCTGCTGAGAAGGGAAGAGGAAGAGGTGAAGGCAGGGGCAGGAAGAGGAGGAATAATGGGAGGAAGGAGGAGTGCGGTGTGGGCAGAGCTGTTTCTGGCTGCAGAAAATCAGATTTGATTCCTGCTTTGAACCGTTCTTAGTGTTCGTACCTGCAGAGAGATTAAACCTCAAACATCCTGCTTCCTGCTGGTTTTATGACGGTTACAGATAAATTCTGTTTCCTCCTCGCTGGACGGGATTAAAACATGATCCAGAGTGACGTTTTTTTATTTAAATCCAGAGCGTCCACACGTTAAACACAGCAGGCTCTTCAGTCTTTAAATCTGGTTCTATTATTGAGTTACGTCTCATTTCCTGCTTAAAGAATACAAATGTTAAACTGTTCGTTGTTTTTTCTCCAATTCTAAACACTTCTTTCTGAGTTTGACTCTTAAAGGGATCCATGATGAGTTCTAACACTAGACTTTAGTTTAACTGTAATATAAAGACTGAAAAAATACTGTAGGATGTTTAGTTTTAATCTTTTTTTAAACTAAAATTTTAAAAATATATTTTAACACGGACGGAGCCATTTTATTTCCACACAAAGCATTCTGGGTAAATGATGACGTGGATAGGTCCTCGGTGCGAGGCTGCTAGCGAGCTATATCCACCCTGAAGGTTAATCTTGGACAATATCTGATGATCGACTCTTTTAAATGAAACCAGAGAGCGTTGACAGAGAGGAGAAGGTAGAAATGACTCAGCCTGGAACTGAAAATATGGATGGAGGACAACAGGTTAGCTTGTTTGTCGAGCTAGCACATAGCTAATACTTATAAGGCAATATAGTGTCGGCGCTAAAGCTAACAGGCTAAGCTGAGGTTCTTATTTGATGAAGCAGCTCTGTTGTTACAGATGATTTTTTCTATTTTCAGTTATTTTCTGCGATTTTAGCCAAAGTTCAGCTGTTATTAGCTAAAGTTAGCTTTTTTAAGCTAAATACATTTTTTTGTAGCCAACACAACCTATTTCTGCTAAGTTCAGCAAACTTGTGCTCGTTATGCTTCTTTATTCTAATTTAAATAATTCAAGCTACAATTTAGCTGTTTTTCTGAAAATATTGGCTGTTTTAGCTATTTACTAAAAATGGTCACTTTTTAGTACTTTTGTGCTTTTTTTGGCGATTTTAAATTTTTTATAACACTTTCACTTTCTGAGTGCTACTTACAACTGGGTGCTACCTTTAGCTTATTTATGCTAATTTTAGCTTTTTTTAAATTCTTTTTCAGCCTTAGATCTGCTTCTTTCTGCTATTCTTCTGATGTTTTCTACTTTGTTTTGTTCTGCTAATTTGTGCTGCTTTTTACTGTTTTTCTTCAAACCTCAGCTTTTTTTTGTTTTCAGCTTTTCAAAGTGAGCTCACATGAACAATTTTACTATTAAATATTTTAGCTCAGTTTCAGCAGCTGAAGTTTTCAGCATGAAGCGTTAATAATGTGCTGACACGTTCAGGCTCAGATCACAGTAAGATGTTTGTTTTTAAACGGTTGAATCGCTGCACTTGTTGGGCTGAGATGAGGACTCGTCCAGCTGGTTCTGTTCCACCTGCTGGGTTCGTCTGAGCTGAAGGCAGGAAACTGGTTTGGGTTTTTAGTTCCAGATGGAGCCGAAGAAACGAGGAGAAGCTGAAGCGGAGGGAGTAAAGGATGATGTGAGGAAGAGGAGGATGACTGTGTGTGCGTGTGTGCGTTCCTGCTGGCCGAGGTGGGAAGAATGACAAGTATGTGGGACTTTTTTCAGAGCTGCGGTCGGTTCGAACAGCCTGAGAGGAACAAACCCACAGAGTCYGGTGGAAAAACCAGGCTGAAGAACATTTTTATCCTTTCTGCTGCCGTGTCGATGAGAAACCAGAGAGCAGAGTTTATTTCCTCCTCTCAGACACACAAACACGTCAGGAGGAGGTGCAGGGTGGAGCRGGTCACGGCTGCAGCCATTGTTGTTCTGACCCACACACTTCCTGTTCACAGCAGCTGTGACGCCTGCTGCTGTGACCCAAACAGGACAGAACCACACCGACCGCTGTGCCACCGTGCAGCCTGAACACACAACTGGACCTGCTCAGAACCACACAAACAACCGGTTCACACAACATAAAAACACATTTCCTGTGTAAAATCAGAGCRAAGGAGCAGCTAAGATGTTCTGAAAATGCTGAAACTGAGTGTTAAAGCTACAGGAAGGATTAAAGATTAAATAATTAACTGGATAAAAGTGGCTAAAAGCTAACATTAGCTAATGACTTGCTAAAAAGTTMAATTAGAAAGAGGCTGGTCAAAAGCTAAATGTAGCAGAAAAACAGTTAAAAATAGCAACAGGCTACAAGCAACACAACAATGCCTTAAAGCTAATCGTTACTAAACACTTGTTAGAAATAAAATAAAATTCCTCAAATTTTAAATGTAGTAAAAAAGTAGCTAAAAGCTAAAAATAGCAAAGGAAAAAATTAAAAATCTTGAAATAGAAAATGCCTGGCTGAAAATTTGAATTAGAAATAGGATAGCTAAAAGCTAAAAATTGCATAAAGTTGCTAAAAATAGCAAAAGACTGATTAAAACCTAAATGTATCAGAACAACAGCTAAAAGTAGCAAAAGCCAAGATTAACTAAAAGCTTAAGATAGCCGACAAATAGCTTAAAGGTCCGTTTACCAGTCCATTTAAAAGTAGCCAAAGGCTAGCTAAAAGCTAAAACTATCAGGACAATGCTYTAAAGCTAAAAGTAGCTAAAAAGACTAAATCAGGTTGAGCAGCTGAAGCTGATTTCAAAACAGATCTGAAATTATTTCTTCAGTAATGTTCACTTTGCTCTTCATCGTTGTTCTTTCTGATATTCCTGATAATTCTCCACTACACTCTAAATAAATAAACCGGTCCCCCTGTGGTCAGAACCGGTCCCGCTGTGGTCAGAACCGGTCCCGCTGTGGTCAGAACCGGTCCCGCTGTGGTCAGAACCGGTCCTGCTGTAGTCAGAACTGGTCCCGCTGTGGTTAGAACCGGTCCACCTGTGGTCAGAACCGGTCCCGCTGTGGTCAGAACCGGTCCCCCTGTGGTTAGAACCGGTCCCCCTGTGGTTAGAACAGGTCCCCCTGTGGTCAGAACCGGTCCCCCTGTGGTTAGAACAGGTCCCGCTGTGGTCAGAACCGGTCCCGCTGTGGTCAGAACCGGTCCCGCTGTAGTCAGAACCGGTCCACCTGTGGTCAGAACCGGTCCCGCTGTGGTCAGAACCGGTCCTGCTGCTCAGATGGGCCATGGAATGGTGTGAAAGTGTAGCAGCTTGTTTCTGTGGGTTTGGTGAATTGTTGACGATCAAATCGTGGTTTTAGAA